GTTGAATATTGTTGAAAGATAAAATTAATTTTCGTCTTCTCTTGGTTATGTACTAATATTATGGAATAATGTTATTATCATGAGAGTAATATCTAGCGTGAAAAAGCTCAAAGTTAGTTAACCATAAATTGGTTAATTAAATTTGAGCTTTTTCTAAAAACTACATCAATGATACTTTTGTTCACATGTAACAAAAGTATCATTGATCTGGAAACTATATTTGATTATTCAGAAAAGAAATAGCTCTTCCAGCTCTCTAAGTATTAACAAAACCTAGACCAAGCATCCTACACCACTATAGCTAACAATTAGCTACGTCGTGCCCACGCGCAGCCAAATATGGTCTGAGAAATTAATAACTGATCATTTTCACGGACCTTCACGGTCTGAACTTTATTGTCATGCTAATTAGCTACAAGTATCTATACTGTAACCATAGTAGATATAATATAATTTGCTATTGCGATTTACACACAATATATGGCAATAGTAATATTCTTGTCTGGAAGAAAGTGCTTTTAACAGTAAGACCGTCCATTTACATCCTTTGCCTTTATTTATTTAATATTATTGTTTTTCTGTTTTGTGTTATTATGATGTAAATAAATTTTTATTATTATTATGTTTAGTAACTTTTTATTTAAGCTCAGATCATGATTCTCCGATTCATGATCCTGGTACAGTGTTTTTCACGGCCGTAAGCCAAGTGAACACAGTTTTTTGTAGAAATTTGCTGTTATTCTTGCTGTATTTAAAATTATTGCTTTTTGAAGGATGATATAAATGGATTTCGGAAGGTCTAACAATTTCATAGATTCCTAACTGTTTTGGGATTATTCCAGTGGTGGACCAAATGATACGGATTGATACTTTGTTAAGCAAATTTTTAATCTCATTTGTAAGATAAAGAATCTTGGAAATAAAAAAATTAGAATCGTTTATATTTAACTAGTATTATGTTTGTAGAAACATAGTACGTACGTAGGAACGCACGTGGACGTCATATGTACGTGAAGCCAAACTTCACAGCGCACTTTTACGTATACGAGTAATTAAGGTAAGATTAAAATTGATGGATGAGCCCATGTAATAATTGACTTATGAAGACGTAAAATAGTGTTAATGTACTAACAAACGTACTGAACTATCTCTTTTCATCCTAGCGTAAACACGGTTTGACAGAAAGAGACAAATGAAAGTCATAGTAATCATGACTTCGTGTTTGTCATTATTTTTTTCAACTGCTTGCTTCTTGGCATACGTCTTCTATTAATTTTAAATCACCTGTCAAGGCAAGTAAAAAGATTGAAGTTAACAATAAAAATGGCGGACGTAAGAAGATCCTAAATGAAACGAATGAGATGAACGGAAGCGGATGGCAGCACAAGAGATCGTTGTTCGCTAAATTTAGCCTCGCTGCGCCGGCGCATGCATTCGAGGGGATTTTTAACTTCAGTTTTTAGCAAATGTTTTACAGTTACTTCGAGACAAAAGTAAACGTTTTAATAAATGTTAAGTTTACAAAAACTTTGAACTAGAAAATCACAATATTTTATAATATGTATAATGTTTATGTATAATTTACTAAAAATATTTGTTTAATACAAATAGCCAATGTTACTCAGGGTCAAGAAGTGATTTAATTTGTTTAACATACAAAAATACACAAATCTTTATATTAGTATAGATATAGAATAGGAACGTAACAGTACCAAATTTCAATAAAACATTATTTATATTTATTTATTAACAGTTCGTTGCAAGCAAACAGAAAATAATAAAATAAAAAAGAGGGCAACTGGCGGCCTTATCGCTGTCGAGCAATCTCTTCCAGGCAACCACCGTAAGAAAAAAAAGAAAAGAAGGAAAGAAGTGCAAGACATAATTATTTAGACAAACCTAATAGAACAAAGCAAAGCAATTGAAACATGTAAAAAGTGAAAGGGATAATAATAGAAAAGGACACATGAAAAAGAAACAGCGTCAGGTGTAAAAAAAAATAATTTGAAATTCCTAACCAAAGAGGAGATATTTGACGTCAGGTGTACAACAGAACGTCAATGTCATACGTAAGGACCTAATATTTAAATAATATTAAATAAGTGATGTTCTGACACCTGATAAAAAATCTGCACTCCGATATAGGTTATCAAGACATTAACATTTTATCATAACCTAAACATTGCAATTAGCGGATATCGCACTGACCTTTGGATAAGCAAATTGTTAAATAGCATATTTATCTTATATGAGGTGAAAATTCATATGAAAACCTTCTACTAAGTCTATTCTTAGTGAAAGTTTACCAAAGATTTAAAAAAGTTTACTTTAAATACCTTAGAAATCTTTTTTGACTTTTGCTTCCATAAATCAGTTTAATTGGTATCGTGTAAAGTCAAATAATTTAATGCAGAAGTCAGAGGAACTCGAAATTCTTATAGTGCGCAGCTCTTGCACGATTATACTACGTTATTTTGTAGTTTTTAAACTGTTAACTTGTTATATAAGCCCAAGGTCCTCACTAAACTCACAACCTGGTGGCAAGAGAAAACCCGGTAGACCGAGGCTGCGTTGTTGGGATTGAGTTGTGGACCTCGAAACGAAGAGTATACTTGAGTAGGCTAAGGTACACAAGGAGCTGTATAGCCATTGATGATGATGATGAAACTTGTTATTTGTAAAACGAACAAATCTTATGAAAAAAATACACCCCAAATTGATAACCTTAAAAATTTATAATCTTGACGTAAAATATCGAATACTAGGGGCGTGATTGTAGCAGCGACTGGGAGCTGTGATTTTTCATATACTAGCTGCGATTCTATACCAGACTGATAATACAATGTAAAGAAACTCAACAGGAACCAGTTTCTTCGCGCTTGTCAGGTTTTTATCAACAAATTTTGCATCAAGCCATTTATAACGATGCGAAAAACACTTAGATTTATGAGTTATCCATACATTTCTTGTAAAAAATATTGAAGTATATGAATCGCCCAGATATGCAACAATGGTCTGTGCCGTAATTATACTTTTTAGTGGCTGGAATTAATAACAGAGATGACATATTTACAATAACAGAGGTGTGCCTGGATTTGTTCAATACATTTAATGACTTATCTTAAGGAAACACATTTATAATTATTGGGTAGCATGTTTCTCTAAAAGTGTTCGTAGAGCAAATGATTGTATCGTCGTTATGGGTATTCTTTTGAATAGCTCTGCTACTTGTGAATTTAAAAGCATTCAATACAACAAACAAATAAAAACATTTCCGAAAATCAAGCGGGCGTAAAACCCTGACAATTTACCGAATTGTAATCGAAAAGAAATCGAAACTCGAACAAAGAGCATTGTAATAGCATCACGTACGATAATCGACGCTATTATGACATACAAAGCAGAATTGCACCTAAATATAATCCAATATTTATACGATCCGTGACTGTAATGCGTCTGGATTCCTCTACGTCCATCCTTGTTTAGCATACTGAAATAAATGAGATACAACACTTCGATTTTGTCCCACATTTGCTGTACACAGGTAAAATATAATACCTGCATGCAGGTAACCTTCTTTGATAGAGTTTTAAGAAGGGAACAATGAATTCGAATTTTGAATTTTCGGAAAGGTACCTGCGCTTTTTTGTTTTGGCCATTTCGATGTGCGGTTGGTTTGTTTGTTTACGGGCAATTTGTGATTACAATGATTTGTGTGTCCGTGTAACAAGATCATGTTTTTTTATGTCATGGACAGATTGGCGTCGCGATACTTCCGCCAAAACATCAAATACTGCCTATGTTTTATAGTCCTAGAAGATTCACAAGTGATTTTTAAAGCAAACGTAACTATTTCATGCAATGTTAAGTGTATAAATGTCTGAAAATCACTCTAATTTTTAATTAGCGAGCATGTCTAAACCCATATTCCAGTTATCAATTCCCATTAAGTTTTTAATAGTCGCGATGTTTATCTTACGCAAGTTCAACAACCGCGACTCATGAATATCAAAGTATGTGTTAAAAAATTCGTTGCAGTCTTTAGAGTTTTATTCATATTCTACTCTCTGACCATAGAAATTATATCACTGGTTTAACTGTGTGACTAATTTGATTTTTGTGTAAATAAGTAATTATTGAAACAAAAAACAATCCCATTTTAAGCTTAGGTCTACGAACGCTAATAGAAAAACTTGCGACCCAATAATTATAAAAATATTTCCTTAAGTCTAGTCATTAAATGTCTGGATCAAATCCAGCACCTTTGTAACCCTTTGAACACCTTTGTAATCTAAAATATGTCATCCCAGTTTTTAACTCCAATCACTAAAAAGTATAATTACGGCACAGATTAGACATATGTATATGAATCTTTAGTAGGTAAAATAAAAAGTTATTGCGGACAATAATTTGTTATGATTTGAATTTTACGCCAAATCAGAAAATAGAGATCTCCTACGATGAAAGCAGCCTTTTCAACGGAAGCAATGACTTCGAAGGCGTAGACTTCGATTAACAATAAATAGTGAATGCAACAAATTTCTATAGTGTTGTTTGGGATTTTCACAAGTGCATTAACAAATATACAGGATGTGCATACATTGTCCCTTTGTAAATCAAACCTACCTGGTATTGAGTTGACACCTGCTGGCTTGTACAAACCACTAAATTTATAAAAACTAGGCACGCAATTCTGACACTTGTTATGTGATAATAACATTTATATTTGCTTAAATATTATTGCTTCTGTGAGGTAATGCTAAGCGCCGCGTGACGCATTTTAAGTATAGGTTTGTGAAAGCTGAATCATAATTAAAAGCGACGTTTAGTGCCTTAACATTTAAATGGACCACCTACAGATTACTGGTATCGTATATTTCCTAGGAATGTGTCAATCACGCCGTAATTAACAGTTATTTCAGGAAATATAGAAGAATAGCTTTATGTTTGTTGAATTTCTTATTACTGTAACGGGTAACCTACCAGTATTACTTATAGTTTTAAAGGAGTAACTTCAATATATCTGACGGTTCAGATAAATGATATGGACTCAAATTTCGAAATTCTGAAAATAAAATATTTCTTTACCCTTATAAATTTACTTTACTTCATTTCGAACGGTTCATACGAGTTTTATTTAATTTAATGTCTAAAATCTTGTTTGTTTGGTTGACTTGTACCCGGCTTAACTATTTTTATTTTATACGCACTTTGATGTATGAGGAAAAGGCTTACCTCACTCTCTGTCCAATCGATAAGACTGGACTTCTCTTCCAGCAGATTCTCCGAACTCCTCTTCTCGTCCTCTCCGTCCCCCTCGTCCTTGAACACCTTGACCTCATCAGTGGAGCCCAGATCGTCACCGCCCGAGGACGCAGCCGAGCTCGAGTGCGCATGCGGCATTTTCAAGATCCCGGCACCCAAACTCCCATTATCCCTCGACTATCTGTCATCCATGACCAATTAACGCACTATTGTCACTATAAGTCTTCGGTTTATCAATGAAAACTTTTTCGTTCACGGGATAATCTGCAAAGAAGAGAGTCAATTTAATGTCTTGATCACTAGAACAAGCATATATAGGTTGGCCATCGGCATAAAAAGAGAGCAGTTCCTAGTTAGGTCTACTAGATCTTTGTCTATTAGACTATCGGTCTAAACATCCCTTATGCCCTGAGACAAGCAGACGATAGAGCTGTGTGGAAGCAGCAAGTCGGTAAGGGATTTTCAAGACGACGAAGCTACGACCTCCGAAAAGACTAAGCAGAATGAGGATGAACACTAACAGCTTATACAGAGCAATGTTGGCCTAGTAGCTTCAACGTGCGACTCTCACACCTGAGGTCGTAGGTTCGATCCCCGGCTGTGCACCAATGGACTTTCTTTCTATGTGCGCATTTAACATTTGCTCGAACGGTGAAGGAAAATATCGTGAGGAACTGCCTTAAACACGACGACGGCGTGTGTCAGGCACTGGAGGCTGATCACCTACTTGCCTATTAGATTTAAAAATGATCATGAAACAGATTCAGAAATCTGAGGCCAAGACCTAAAGAGGTTGTAGCGCCACTGATTTATTTATTTTACCAACAGCTTATATACAAGCTCATAATATCAGATACCTCGAGAGATCACCATCAAATTGGTGGTAAATAATTAATAACTAGAATGTATATTTAACGCGATTCGTCCAGCATTGTGGCATATTTTAGGTCAAGTGGGCTGTCAAGTATCGTTCAAGTCCCTTGGCTCGCGGCCAAGCGCTCAGAAACCCTTAGAAATAAAATAACATATTGACAGTGAATAATTTATGTAAACACTGTATGGATGGACGAATGACTACACTTAACGAAGAGAAGACAAATTCCAATGTTATAATTTTGATTATTAAATGCGTCCACTATAGAATGATTAAACATAACGTTATTAATGTTGAAGACATTAAAACTTCGCTCCATACTGTTATGGTGTGTTGAAAGTATGCATTATGCGCACGCGTTACAATGCAACATGTTATGTGCCCATAGTGGTATCTCATATCATACGTATTTATATACTTTGTCATGAGTAAAAACAGAACCTATATGTATAGATGAAATATATAGATTAACTAGCTGCCCCCGCGAACTTCGTTTCGCCTTAATGTGATTTTACTAAGCCTACCATTTTAGTACATACCAACACATTTTGGAACATTTTGCTATGCTACCCCAGAGACTCTTCGGTTTTCTGAATGAAACCTTTTTTGGTTTTTTTGAGAATATTTCTCTATATAAACCTCAGTGATACAGAGTTGGTGATAAAACAGCCACATAATAAAAAAATAAAACTTTTATCCAAATAAAAAAAAATATATATTTTGGGGTGGACATCCTATATCACTTAAGGGTTTGAAATATAAATAGTAGCCGATTCCAGACTTACTGAATATGCATAAAAAATTTCATAAGAATCGGTTGAGCCATTTCGGAGGAGTATGGGAACAAACATTGTGATACGAGAATTTTACATATAGATTCATGTTTGTACAGGCATGTCAGAGCCAATTCTAGAAAGAAAGTTTATCTATGAAACAGATGAAAGGTCTGACCTGTGGCACCGAACTTCAAAATAAAGACTAAATATGTATATGTAATGTGTTACTGACAATAATCAGTTATGGCGTTAAAAAGCATGACAAATATTACAGAGATCTGAGATTTTTATCTTTTTAAATAAATTACTTATCTCATAATAGTCTAGATAACAGTTGGTTATGTAAAGTTCCGTTTGTTTGTTTGTTAATGACTTAACCAAGTTACGGTTCATGTGTTGCCGCTATCTAAAAAAGTGTTGAGGCCACTCTAAAGGGGTTGCCCTAGACATTCCTTCTAGGCACAAGACAGACTAACAAATATGTTATACACTCAAAACGGCTATATCTAGTAAAATAGTATTGATAATTGCACCCTATACATGCCCGAAACAAAAGACAGCAATGGTCGTTCAATTGTGATTGGTCAACAGAATCTTTAGTCCATCAAAATCAACCGAATCTAATCCCGAAGCTATTGAACTATATACTCGTATAAATAATTAGGGTAAACAGTTAATGGACAATTACGTTAAGAGTATTTTAATTAAGCATTTTTGCCAGATTAAAACTCGTTTCATTATCACATTTTCACAATTATCCAAGTTGAGTTGCGTATGTTTAAAGGTGTGTTATGTTTAAATGATCCAGGAAGATTTCCACGTTTACACAGCGTCGACTGTGTTAATATAAATTTCGAAAGTTTAGCTGTTTTTTGAGTTCAAAATTCGCATCATGTCATTCTTTGGTGCCAAACTAACAATGAACTAATAACAGAGTTTAATGACCGAGAAATTAATTAGCTTTTCTCACACAAAATTTTCACAGAATTATCGTTATAATTACTATAATAAATAATAGCCATTTAGGTAAATAGATGAGAATAGGGATGTTAATTAAAAAAATTAATGACACAAAGAACAGATTCGCAACAGTTCACTATAACGAAAATGATAAGGTAATTTTTGGGTTCTTGATAATATTAATTAAAGATTAAACCCGATCTACAAAAACCTATGGAAGGTAACATGGTAGTTAAAGCAAGGCTGATAGCAATAGGATGGAATAAAAAGTCAAGAGAATTTAAATTAAGAATAAAATGATTTTGTTATTTGTGGTATGGTATAAATTCTTTATAATAGTTTAAATTTGAATTTCGAACATTTAAAAATGCAAATGTTCGCAGCATTATTTTTTCAGAATTTCAGGCATCTTTTTAAACTTTTAAGCAAGTTACTACCAGTCGCCTATGTATTTGTGCCACTATGAAAGATCAGGAAATTATTAAGAGCCCTAATATATGCTAGTACGTAGCAATTCATTCACATTAGCAACGCAAAATGTCATACCTGTATAATGATGTATGTAGATGGAGGACTAGGTGTGAATATTGAATCGTTCACGCTGTATATTAACTATAAACCTTTATGTTCAGGGGTTACCAACTGTTTAAAATATTCAAGAGAAAGAAAGAAAACCTAAAAATTGTGATTATTAATTGGCGCGTTCATTATCTATTACACGGATTTGATAACATTTTACAAAATACATCTTTAGCATCGAACAATCTTCAGCAACTTCTGGTATAAAAAGTACCTTAATTGCATAAGCAACAAATAACGAACATTCATGGAACGCTTAATATTGTTTTGTTGGTATCTATTTTACAGCAACGTTATACTGAGAAAATTGTGTATAAGAAATATTCTTTCAATAAAACAACTAGCTAACTTTTAAAATTTGTACTTCAAAACTCTCAACACTCAACACTCGGACTAGATAATTATTATATAAGGACTTTTGACCGTATACAAAAACAATTCGAATGTTTCATAAATATCTCTTGTAATAGGATAACTTTCACGTACATAACTATACGTATATACATCTAATTATATGAAGAGGATATAATATTTTAAATATATAATACAAGAATTATTGTATAATAAGAAGTAACTATATAGTAATAATAAAAATAATTAAAAATTAATAAAAAGAAAATTTAAACAAATGTAAGAAGTTTTGTCCCTGTGGCAGTGTACCTTTAACGCTATCGGTGTATTTCCTCGCTGTATTGCGATACTATAATAATGATATGTATATTTAATACAAGAATAACAAAGTATATATAGTAGTTTTATAAAACATATTTTTCCAGGTCCCTGTGTCAAAAGTGGTTCTTAACACATTTAGGTAAAATGGGATGGTCTTAGACCATGTATGCGAAAGGAAAAGGGATAGTTAGCTTCACACGAAAAATAAACATGCCTAATAATTTAATTAAATAATTGGTCTTGAATAAAATGACTGTCTAGTCTTGTTAAACCGTCATGGCGGATATCGTTTGAGCGAGAGTACTATAGCGATCATACGCGAATAACACAGGTATCACTTTATGGCTGTCTTTACGATTCACTATGTGAAACTATGCGTTATACGTTGAATGCTTTTCTTTATTGAATTTAACAAGTATACATTTCCGTTAAACAGCACATTTTATGGAAGATTCCGCAAGCAACAAGTAGTAACTTTTTGTCGCCACTAGCCATTAGGGGTGTCTTGTTCTTTTATTAAATACTTGAACTGTGTAATACAATGTTATTTTGTAAGATAAAAATACATTTTCTATCGCAATAATGGTCGTTTATAAAAAGCTGTGGTTTTTAGTTATTGTTAAAAGTAAATTTTTATTCGCTGCGTCGCCGATATTTGACTCGCAAAGTTTTTGTAATATGCATTTTTGTATTGATATATAATATTTTGTTGCTATCGATAAATTTATTTTCGTTATTTTAGGCTGTGTGAAGGTTGTTTATCGTAATTTAATTTTATTACTTGTGTAAAGTGTCGACTGATTTCGAATTTGGAATAAGAACATTTAGTTTTAACACAGATTAACAAAGAGGCTAAATATTTGCAATACAAATTGTGCCATATTTGCTTTGCTGTTGTTACTACAATATTGGTGGGAGAAAGTATTTGTATCCTGACATTTGTAAAATATTGACCCTCCACGTCGATTAAACGAAGAGAAACCTAATTAAAAAACTTTATTAAAAAGCAAATTATACTACATTAGTGGTTATCATAACTTGTTTGTTATATTATTCAACGGTTCGTTACATTTTATGGACTCTAAGAAACTCGTATTTAACATTAAGTGGGGTACATAAGATGTTTTTTACATAATTATCACAATAGTTTTCCTCTTTAAACATAATACGTAAAAAATGTATAAATAATATAAAAACTTGTTAGTAATTTGTAGCTTGTATAGTTGACATACTTTGAAGTATTCAAATGTCAAAACACACGTATGTTAGAATGCCTA